CTCACCTGGTACCGTCCATGCAAACATGCCGAATGCACGCTCCGCATAGGTCACTGCCACAGCGGCCGATCCCAAGACTTCTTCGGGTGATAGAATTGAATAGAAAGCAACATTAGCCATCACATAGACAATGGTGACCAATGTACAAGAGATGGCAATAGCGCGGGGCAAATTCTTGACAGGATCCTTAAGCTCTTCAATAATGAAGTTCNGAATAAAATCCGGATAGCATGGATATCCGGTTAATATTCGTTTGTGTAGTTATCCGGATTTACGAAGAACCGGTTAATATTCGTATCGTATAAAATCAACAAAATTTGGTAAAGCATTAACTACGACCAAAAGTATCATAGCAGCTTTCACTAATCAGTCCACGATATTTTAAAGCCATGAAAAATTCTCGCGATCAATTAATAAAAACTGGAAGAGTGGCCGTTGGGAAATGCATACATTTTATTAATTTATTCGGCCTATGTTGGAAATTAACTAAATTATTAAAATTTGATATCCGGAGATCTAACGAAAAATCCGGATTTATTTGTAAATTTTTACTGTGGCGTATTAATAATCATTTCAATAGCGTGGTACGATTTGTTTGTTAGGAAAAATGGAAAACAACGTTGCTTAAGCGGATATCCGAATATTAACTGAGCTTCCAGGATATCCGGATTTTCCGTTTGGTTCTTCAGATATTCGGTTTATCCGGATAGTTGAAAAGTCCGGATGGAATTCTAGGCCTAATCCGTACTCAAATCATTGGTTAGCTTTCTAACTACATCCAAACTAAACGAATATAACTAACTTTTTTACTCTGGGTAATAGGTCTTTAGGTAGACAATTTACCAATTTGTTAGCGGGTGCTCAGACCATCGAAAGCCTCGTCAGAAACTGGGCGAATATTTTGGCCAGCACGATGGGCTGCGAAGTTCAGCTAGGTATTTGCTTTCATTGGGCTGATGAGACTGCAGACGGTTGGTGGAATTGCAGACTGGTGGAAAAAATACCTAGCTGTTATCGGCATAGGTGTCTACCTCACCTAGTACCTTGAATAGGACCAGACATTAGAATTGAGGGCATGTAGTCCGAGTGTTGTTTTACGCACCCATGGTTTGGGTTAGTTTGGACACGAAAAATGTCTTTTACATTACATTAATACTTAAGTGTCTACGTTAACTACTGCATATGGTACATTATACTAAAGTCACTATTATCACTAGATGTAAGTATGTATATTGTAATGTAAAATATCGAATGCTAATTAACGAAGAGTGTTAAATAGCGAACTTTGAAAAATCTCAGTGAAGGTAAATAGGTTATCGTGGATGAACCCATTCAGTATTGGTAAGCAAACTTAAGCCACCATGACCTCTTTGTGATACAGTATGAGATTATCTTTACAATTTCCTTATCCAAATAAGTGAAACCAATTCGTCGTTCAGGTGAAGGTCACAAAAAAGTAGCGGCGAATCGAATGTCGGCGGGTTCTCGCCAATGCGCGATATTGATATATGTACATAGATCACGATGCAGAAAATGACGGTGGCGTCATTCGCGTACCGAAAGAAGTCATTCGACGGCAGACACATTAAATTGGCGTGCGTTCCCCGATTATCTATGTACATACACACACATGTTGAAGCAGTGGTCGCATCAGTCGGCAAAGTGGGCTAATATTTTAGCTAATTTACGCCAGATGGATGTGACCCTTCACGTTGACTCTGCAGATCATCTACCATTCGCCCTTTTGCTAAAGTAATTTTATAATTAAACGGAATATGGATTAAACGGATACAGGTTCGAGATTCGGTTCTGTTTCCATGTATAGGTAAAAATCTGAATGCCCTTATCTTGCAATTCTTTTCACCATTAAATTCCATAGGTAGGACAACGTACTGCGAAATGCACTTGTAGCGTATGTGGTTGCAGACACCGTGCAAATATCAAAATCAATAGTTCAGCTGAACGAACATTTTGAAGACACTTCGATGTGTGAGCAGACCTGCCATTGCAATAGGCCTGCTGGCAGCGATAATTTATTTATTTATATTAAATTCTCTGCCAGATTTGTATATATAGTGGTTTTTCACGTACCTTAAGGTGGAAAGTAGTAAGGTTTATCGGTCGAAAGTCATTTGGCTTACATGGCAGGGTCTTTCTCGCTTTACAATAAACGCAACTTTGGAAGAGGTTTAATCCTGGTCTATGAAGTTTAGTCTTAAACAGCCCTTAGAAATAACATTTGACAACGGGTGAAGAATTCCCGATAACGTTATTATTATTTTTTTATTCGGCAAGGAAAATTCGGTACTTTACTTCTCAGTCTATTCTTTTGACGTCCGTAAATTATGAAAATACTATGTTTCAGAAGAAAAGTGAAAATAACGCCAGTTTTTAAAGGACATGCTGGAGATTTTACCAGTACTTTTCTCAAGTAATTCTCCTCTAACTGTTCTTGTATGTACGGAGACCGGCTCGATTTTCCTGATTACACTTTTAAGGCTACCTAGTAGGCAGACCACGTTCCTTTTCGTTTTGCACGATTGAATTGTTTCCTGCTTTCTCTCCAAGGAGGTGGATCCCTCCCATTCATCCACCAGTGTGGATTTCACCTTCATTTAGGGATTATTCTTTGCAATCAACGGCTTTCTCAACTGTTTTGGATGGGCGCTTAAGTCGCCGATAGAAGCAAGTGATTAGAAAATTTAGTCTTACCAGTGATATTAGTTGAAAGGGGCACTATTTTATGTATATGGTATGCACATACATATATCTATGTAAAATATTGCGTGTGCATATAATATTAAAATAATTTCTTATCGCCTGAAAGCCAATTACTTAAATCCCATTACTTTGTTTGTTAATATATTTTATTGGACATTCTCCACTGATTTCCTGTCTGTCTGCCACTTTGTTTGCCCTTCGTACTTACGTGTGTACATACATATGTATGTATGTGTTTACGTATTTTCTCATGTCAACTTACCAGCCATTGTAGGCGAACAATCCAGAGTAAAAGGACAACGCTAGTGAAGTTACTCTCGTGTCTGTATTCTCGAATGTAAAGTATTCCACTTTGCCCAAGGACAGTTGGTATACGCCGGTGGCGATGATGATGAAGAGCGCCAATAGCTTGGCATATGTGAAGATATCCTGCACAGCGGTGGCCCATTTAACGTCCCAGCAGTTAATGAAGGTTAAGACCACTAAAATGAAAGCGAATGGATGGCAAAATGTCACAATGAAACGGAACAATTAGACTAGATGAAAATAAATGCGAAGCAGTAAATTTAATAAAATTGTTTAGAAATATATTCTAAGAGATTTTAAGAGAATGCAGTGCAATGACTGGCTTAATATTTTCAGTTAGACTTTTGTAAATGCAAAACACAAACTGCATACATATGTAAGTATGTATGGGTTTACGGATGTCTAAAGTTAATTGAATATTGTTGATTCTTTCGATTCTCAGTTAAGGAGTTTGTTTAGGCGCGTCTGCTAACACCAGGCGCCTAAATACATGCTATGTACTGCTGCATGAGCAAAAATTTCCTTTATGCAATTTTTGCACATGCACTTCTCAACTGCCATGTAATTGAACTTTCTTAAGTTCTAATTAGATGGCACTTCAAAGTATGCTCTGCCTAGTCGGATGCATCCTCCGGACACTGCTTCCGGAGCATTTTGCGGACTCTGCATGACTTACAACCATGCAGAGGTGGCAAACGAACTTTGCCATTGGCCACAGTGCCTACCCACCATTTTTGAACCAATAAATATTTTTTTTTATANCAACCATGCAGAGGTGGCAAACGAACTTTGCCATTGGCCACAGTGCCTACCCACCATTTTTGAACCAATAAATATTTTTTTTTATATAAATACATACATGCAAACATACCTGTCTCCCCTCTCACTGAGTTATTCAGAGTTTCTATATATTCTTAACTTTAGCTACTCATTTAAGAACACATAACTACGTATATGTATGTATGTATGTATATGCGAGTGTGATTGAAGATATCACAAATGTCGAAGAGTATCAATAATAATACATATTTAGTATGAAACTCATTAGAAAATAAATATGCTACTAATTGTATTTATGGCTTGCCTCTAACTGAAGTGCTTCGAAAAATTTGCAATGTGGGTTTAACTAAAGTATTTTTGAAAGGCAATTTCCAAACAAATTTTTGCCGAACTTCCGATCCCCAGGGTTTTAAATTTTTCATCATAAAACATACTGAGTTTGGGCATTACAGTCAGTTCTTAAAGTACGGTGACCATTTGTCCTGTATTATACGGTGTAGTAGCGTTGTATAGGCTAGCTTAAGTAATAGATTAATAAATCAT